TCTGATTTTCTTGGTGAAACCTACTTAACTGAACATTAAGAAAGACACAGAAACTTTAGAAAAGCTATTCTGGCAAGAATTCACTGGCCTTCCAGACTTGTTGTCCAGGGTAAGTGGCTGTTTATAGCCAGATCTTTCACTCTACAGACATGGAGACAACAGGTGCAAGCAGGGGCATGTGTGTGTCTGTAAGGTTAGACCTTCTGCCTCTGGGCTGTCAGCAGTTCTTTCCTAATCCCTGCCTGCTGTTGGTCTGTGTTTCCTCCACACACTCTTCCCTGCTCCCACTGCTGCTATCTTCTGCTGCATTTGGAGGAAGAGATGAGGAGCCAAGCAGGACCCTGAGTACCTCGTGAGAGCCACGTGCTCAGTCTCAGCCAAAAAAAAAAAAAAAAAAAAAAAAAACCGCCTGAAGTGTGTCTCTTGGCTTCTGTGAGCCTTTTTTTATATTAAGGTGGGGAAAAGCCTCTTGTGGTATGCATCCATCATATCTATCTTATCTCAAATAAATGTGGTTTACTGATGAGCTGCCACAAATCCCAGGGATCTTATTAAAGGAAAAGGCAAAGAAACCACAAATTTTATTTATTTCTGAATTACTATTACCTGCTATATATGAATATTTTATATTACTTTCATAGCCACTCACCTTTGCTACACTACTTTCTTACAAGGGTTCACGTCACTACACTTTTACAAAGCACTGTCCTTGGACCAGAAAGGAGCAGTAGCAGCCATAGAAGGATGTGTTTCAGGCTGCTGGTCCCGCATGGCAAAGGACTTACCCAATTCACCTCAATTTACTCACATTGTGTCCTTGGTGACTAAACATTAGCTGTCTGGGTGAGGAGCACACGGTGCAGTCACAGACAGCCAGGAATCAAACCACAACTGTGCCTCCACCACATTCCAAAGAATTTACTACACAACAGAGGTCTTTCCTCCCTTTAGTGCATCCTGTATCCTCTAACTTACAGAATGCCTATGCAGCCTCACCAACTTGAAGGTCTAACAAGGGATTTGGCCAAGGTTCAGGCACTTTTTCCAGATGAGATTTTGTCAAGCTCTACATGCTGCATAAATAAATATAATCCTAGTTTGCCCTTCAGGAAAAGGTGATTTCAATTGTGATAGAAAAATCTTTATCACCTGATATTCTGGCAAAATAACAATTTCTAGTGTTTGTGGCTTATCACTTAATGCTATTATCCCAAGCATCCAGATCATACCATTACTTTTCTTGTACATTTAGAAGTCTTGTTAATGAATAGCAATTCCTATATTGATGTCTCTCTATACAGGCATTAGAACTATTCAGCTTTATAGTAATTTTCTCCACATAACTCTAAAGCTTTTTCAAGCCATATCTATCCATTCTAACTTTTGTCTGCATCTTTCCTATCACTTCCAATATCGTAGGGTTAGGAGAAGATAAGAGTCATTCCCTTTGCATCTAAGAGTTCTCCAGGAGGCCACATTAAAACAAATTTCAGGGTAAAGTGGGGATAAATGGAAGTGGAAGGAGACTTGAGTTGGGGTAGTTAACACACAACATACAGATGATGTATTATAGCATTAAAAAAATTAAAAAATAAAAATGTGAAACAAAAGTCACCCATTGCTTAGTCATTGTGGAGACAGACATGTGATGAGGTGACTGAAATACAGGCTTGTATCATAACACCCTGACAATAAGCACACACTTGGTCCAGAAGTGAACTTCTCTGAGGAACACATGGCCTGGCCTGCCTGAGGAGGGATCTGCTCAAGTGCAAGGAGTGACAAGAAATGCAGCCCCAAGCCTTGCTTTGAGCATGGTGCCAGAGCAAGAGGAATACCATTGACCCTAAGCCTTACTCACACTGACCGCTGCAACACGAGCATGCCCAGCCATGTGTGGAATGCCTGAAAACAGTCTTCTTGCTGATGCTAAAGAAGCATTCTATATGTGCACACCCAGCAACTGCCATTTGGAATTTGGTTCTGCTCTGTTCTAAGGCCATCTGCCAAATAGTGTCAAATATTGATTGTGGCATTGATAAAATAGCCACAGCAACCACAGCCCAAGCTGCACCTGCTCCTAACTGCCTATCAGAGCACATTGTGCTGACACAGGGCAACATGGGAGATTCGGTCAGGCAGGGAATGACAAGGTCTAAAACAAAAGAGATATTTGAATACGAGTTGCATGGAATGAAGCCTCTTCATTTTAAACTATAAAATCTGACCCTCCAAAAAACACTATAAATTCTATTTAATTCAGTAAATGATTATAATAAGCATGATTCCATATTAAATGTGCTAAGGAAAAAGACTTGGCTGGGTGACAAACCTAGTGTTTATTTCATATTTTCCGCATCTCCGTATAGCATAGCATTTAAGTTTCCATGCTCAACTTTGAAAAAATAAGTTGCTTATTCAACTTATTCAACTGGGAATGTGAACAATAGAGAACTGAAAGATTTTTGGAATTCTGTTAATAATTACTCATGTGTAATGATGATTTATAGTCCCCAAAACTGCTTTAAAAGATTGTGTTTCATGGTAGAAATTGCTACTAGACAGTAAAATTTAGTTATTCCTGAGAATATCATTCTTTCTGCCTGAACTGATAAGATGAACATTAATATTTTATCTCATCCAACAGAATACCTCTCTCTGTGCTTAGGGGAAAGAAAGTCCTACATAAACAATACAGAACTAAGCCATGAAGGAAATTATGTCAAAATTTAAAGGAAGTGTCCTCATAATTGTCTAGTTTGGGGCTTTCAGAATGGGTTCCCAGAACGCCTTGGACATTTCTCAACTCCCAGGGTATTTTACATGAAGAACTGAGCAAGGAGAATCTCAGCCCCATACTCACATGCAACAACAGATTCACTGAAAAAATGAAATACACCTGTCACAGGCATATGAGCATATACTAAATGCTTTATCTTTCTATAGGGTTCTTGGCCCAGTGTAGTTCTTCTAAAAAAATCTATTAAAATATAATTGACATACAATATTATATTAGTTTCAGGTATATAATAGAGTGATTTGACCTTTATATATCTTATGAAGTGATCACCCCAAAAAGTCTGATTTACTACCTTTTTCTCATACAAATTATAAAATGACTATTTTTTTTCAAAATCATTAAGCATAAACAAACACACACAAAATTCCCAAGACCAAACTCAAGATCAGAACATTTCTGAGTTTAAATCAGTTGTGCTGCCCATGATGTGTGACTAAACTATTTCTATTATACCTTCCATTTACTGACAAAGATAAAAAAAAAGTCAAGGAATGAGAGGAAACAAATATTTACATATTTTAGCAAGGAACTGTTATTTCTGGGAAGACCAGGGAAAAAGATTCACCTTAACTAGAACTTTTAATGAAATAAGGGTAGAATGTGGTCTGAGGGAAGAAAAACTGTGGTAAAAGATATGCTCAGTGTTAAGTCATAAGGATTTTGGTCTTATGAAATTATGAATTAAAGACAGATGATTGATTATGAGATCTAAGTGAAAGAAGCAAGGTACAGAAGGCCACATATTGTGATTCCATTTATACAAAATGTCCAGAGAAAGCATATCTATAGACAGGAAGTAGATTAGTGGCTACTCCGGGTTGGATGGGAGCAGAGGAGAGGATGAGGTTTCTTTGTGAAGTGATAAAAATATTCCAGAATTAAATATTGGTGATACTTAACGCACTCTGTAAATGTGCTAAAAACCACTGCATTATACACTTTAAAATAGTAGATTTTGTAGTATATGAATTATTAAAATTTGGTGTGGTATTTTAAACTAAATGCACAAAAAAAACACAAAAGCAATTCATATTTGTAAACATTGCTATAATGTTTATAATGTTTTTTAAATTATGAGCTCAAATGGGTAAATCTGGGGAAAAGAATTGAAATAAGAGGAAAAAGACAGAATAGATTAAACAGGTCTCTTGTTCTCAGGGTTTTTTGTTTGTTTGTTTTGTTTTGTTTTTTAGCTCCTTGAGCAGAGGATCTATATCTGATTATTCTTTTTATTCTCTTTTCAGAATTAAGCACAGTATTATGCAAATTGTGTGCTTAAAGAAACTCTTTGTTAGCTCTCCATTGATTAAATCGTGATGGCCAACATCATGAACTATTTTTGCAATGATCATAAAGATGATAAAGCTATTCATTCTGCTCCTTCTCTTTGCTCTCACTACCATGTCATGGAGAAATTCTTTGTCCTTCTGACATGATGTTACAACATAGCATTAACATGTAAAGTTTAGTCTGAGTCACACTGAAGATTGTCTAATTTTCTAGAATTGTTATCTTTACAAATTACCTTGCACTTTGTTTTCAAATTAGTGTTCTGGCTTTTACTTCATAATTAAATGAAAAAGGCTTAAAAGTCACAAGATTCACCTATTTAGTTTTTTTTTTTTATTTGTACCATGATCATTTTAGTAGGAAATAGACTAGTTGGAAAGCTGACTAAAATAATGGTACATTTTACAATAAAGAGAATGTGTTTAGGTAATGCACAAAAACCACAATTAAGAAAACCAAATGGTAATATTGTAGAAAAACATGTCTTTTACCTATGGGGAAATACATCATGAGAGTTTTGAGCATTATCATGGCACTATCTTTTTCAGAGGACATAGAAAAATTTACCTATATCCTGATATTACAGAGAGACATTATAACCCCATTTTACAGACAGAAAATTAATAGATATGTTAAAAGGCTCTCTGAGTAGATATTTCCCTTCTATTGTCCTATCTCATATACTGTGGACACAGTGAGCAAAGACTGTTGTGCTGATTAAGTGTTACCACATGAGAAATGCAGAGTCCCTGGAGAAATGTCTGATGCATATTTAGCATTCAAGAAATATTACACATGATATAATTGTATTCCTAATGTTGAAAGCCTGACACCTGAAACTATAAATTAAAAATACAATGATATGGAGAAAATACATGGCTAAGAAGCATACTCACAGCACTACACATACCTGCAGCAAGGTACGAGCCTCCCCCGGCTTTATAGAGAAGATGGCTGGCGAAGGGGGCTGCACAGATGATCAAAAAGCTTGCAATAACCACAGCAACTACCCCCAGGAGCATCAGGACTGCCCAGAAACCACGGTAAACTGGAGATCCCAGGATAAAAGTAGAAAAAAAACACACACACACGCTTAGATTTTGAACACAACAGATTGTCACACAATGAGTTTCTTGACTCTGCATTTCTCTAATTTCAGCCTTAGCACTGCCAGGTGATATTCCAAGATATAGGCTTTGACTTATCTTTAAATGGAAACCTTATCAGAGACTTCAGACTCAGTGAAATCAACCTTCAGTCAACTCATGCTAAGGATTTGCACCACACACATGTTTAATATACTTTGAGAGCTCAGTTTATTGACCAGATTTTTCATTTTAGAAGTGGGAGCACCTAGAGATCTAGAAAGAGTTCTGTTGAGTAAGTACCCACTGGATCACATATGGATATTTCATACAAAATGTACAAAAAACATGAAAGAAATTCCTATTTATAAATACTGCTAGTTACTTCCTAATAAGATATTTATAATAAAAATAGCAAGCAATTTTTTAAAAAAGGTGTAAACACATTGAGATTTTAAATTAGATATATCTAAAGTTTACTACTTTCTATTAATATTTGCTTTTTTAAAAGATTCAAAATGAGAAGTTATAGTGATATCTTCTTTAAGGACCAGCAAGTTTGAATTAATAGATATAACTAGTGAGAAGAAGATTGTGGGTTTGGTGACATGGTCACAGTAATGAAATAAATATGATTCTTAATGATTGATTTTGAACAGTATAATACCAACCTATTAAATAAATGTATTATTTCCTGAAGGCTAAAACACTAAAATAAATTCCTTTTGGTGTAAACAAGGGGAAGCTCAGTGAAATATAATAGAATTATACTTTTATGTAAATATAAAAATTTCATAATGAAACAAAGAATTTTTTTTTCTCAACAAGCCCACCTGCGAAAGAAAAAATAAGTGAAATCTTAGAGAAGAGTGGGTGAGAAAATGGGAATTTGAGGAGTTAATGGGAGTAAATTTGAAGAGTAAGTGGGAAAGGACTTTTGTGCCTATAACTGAATCTTGAAGACAGGACTAAAATATCAGCATTTACTTCATGTATCAATGCCATTGATTTTCATTCATTTCACTTACTTCATTGTTGATTACAGGGTAGTTTTTATGGCAAGTGCTAGGGATACAAACCTTAATAAGTGGATGTCCAGGAAACAAAGAGACCATTCTGTCACTCCCATGACCACACTAAAACTATACAAATGTGACAAACAACTAGCTGAGAACTCCAGAAAGTAAACAATAGCAAATGAATTAAAGAAGGAACTCAAATCTGTTGCTGAGATCAACTGAGCTAGAAAGACTCTTCCCAGCCTTTCCTTTTTTCCTCCTCCTGGATTTGTCCTGTAGACAAGTCAAGTTGGGAACTTTGTAAAAGATGAAAGCAAACAAACAAACAAACAAACATAAAGTTAACATTCTGGTTATAAAAGCAGGATAAATGGCCTCTACAAGCCAAAATATGGGGAAAATCCCCATGTTTATTTTTATTCTCTCAGTGTTGCCTCAAGGCAAGATTCAAAAATAAATCTTCTATCCTGGCTGAGTGGCTCACTTTATTGGAGTGTGTCCCATAAACTCAAATGTTGTGGGTTCGATTCCCAGTCAGAGCACATATATCTAAGTTACAGGTTCAGTGCTCAGTCAGGGTATGTTTGGGAGGAAACTGATCAACGTTTTTCTCTCACATTGATATTTCTCTTACTATCTTTCTCCCTTCCTTCCCCTCTCTAAAATCAATAAGCATGTCCTCAGGTGAGGATAAAAAATAAATAAAAGTAGGTGTGCATTGCTACCGCAGTGGAGGCATTGACATTTATAATTTCAAATGATGATTCAATTCTTTGGATAGAAGAATTTGATTCCTAATGTGCAAAAAGTAAGTGAATCACTGTTACATGTTTCTCTCTTTCCCCTGCTGCTTTGCACTATGGTACAATTACCTGGAACTGTGCCACAGCAAGGAGGCCAAACTCTAAAAGCACCCAAACTTTCTTGCTTGCCAGAAAAAATGAGCAAAGTGGTCCTAGAAGCCAGAGGATGTAGGGTAAATGCCACAGACAAGTGAGAGTTGGATAAGAGAATCTATTTCTGTGTTTGAATCTATGCAAGTAATGAACTCACTCCTCAAATTCCTCAAGTGTAAAAAATGCCCAGAGAAGTACAACAAAAGCTTTAAGAACTGAATTGCAGCTTCTGGGTAACAAAAATCCCCCAAGAACCAGAGTAAATTTTGAATGGAGCATGCCTCATCAGACCCAAATAACATAGAAACAACTGAAAATGATATTGACATTGAAACTAGTATCACAGAAGAAAAGGACAGACAATGCAACTTGAATACCCATTCAAACAATGCATCACTATTTGCCAGAGAATTTTAGCAGTATTCAGAGTCTGACAGTGTAATCTTCAAAATGTCCAGGATACAATCCAAAATTACTTGATATACTAACAACCATGAAAATCTGACTAATGCCCAAACAAAGAAGCAATCAGCAGATGCCAACCCTAAGTTTCAGATGTGTGAATTAGTAAACAGACTTTGAAGTAGCTATTAGAATCATTCTTCATAAACTAAGGTGAATACTCTTGAAATGAGCAGAAAGAGAAATAGAGTCTATAAAGAAATAACTAAATTGAATTTTAGAGTTGAAAATTACAAAACCTGAAATTAAAAATTCATTAGACAAGCTTAATGGCAGGATGGAGATGAGAGAGGAAAGAGCAAGTGAACTTCAAGAACTAGCAATAGAAATGATCCAATCTGAACAACAGAAAGAGATTGAAAAGAAAACTGACTAGATAGAGTCTCACACACTTGTGGGACCATAACAAAAAACCTCATGTTTCTGTCATGGGAGCCCTTAAAGCAGAGGTAAAAGATGTTGGTGCAGGAAGAACATTCATAAAAATAATTCCTAAAAATGTCCCAAATTTGGTGAAAGATAAATATACAGATACAAGAAACTCAACAAACTCCAAAAAGGATAAATTAAAAAAAAAATCAGCTCAGACACGTAATAAAATTACTAAAAACCACAAAGTCTTAAAAACAGTCAGAATGGGGATGGGGATGAAATATTAAATGTATGGACCAACAGTTCCAAGGACTGAAAGTTTCCCATGAGAAATGATGGCATCCAGAAGACAGTGGAGCCCTAGCCAGATGGCTCAGTTGGTCAGAGTGTCACCCCATACACCAAAAGTTTGCAGGTTTGATTTCTGGTCATGGCACATACCTGTTTGCAGGTTTGATCCCTGGCCAGGGTGCACATGGGAAGCAACCCATCAATGTTTCTCCCTCATATCTCTTCTCTCTCTCTCTCTCTGTCTTTCCCTCTCTTCCCCTCTCTCTAAAATCAATAAACATATCCTCGGGTGAGGATTAAAAAGAAGAAAAAGATGACAGTGGACCAACCTCTTTAAGGTACCAGAAGAGAAGACCTATCAACCAAAAATTCCGCTTCTAGTAAAAGTGTCTGAGTGATAAAGGTGAAAAAAAGTCATTTCCCAGATAGGGAAATAGGATTTGTCACAGCAGACCTGCTTTACAAACACATGTAAAAAGATTTCTTTAAGCTGAAAGGAAATGACACTAGAGTTCCCTTGAAACTTCAAAAATAAAGTAAAAGTTAACAGAAAATGTGAATATCTACATCAATATAGTAAGCTATTTTCCTCATCTTAATTTATTTAAAATCTATTTGATTATTGAAATTTTAAAAATAAATTGTCAGCATGATCCAGTAAAGAAATACAGATTTGGAAATCAGAGTAATCCAAGTATTTACCATTTATACATGCATAACCTTGAACCATCTGGGTCCAAAAGAAGCATGATAAGCCAAGGTCACATGCAAGCAAGAGGGAAGGAATTATAAATTAGGCTACAGAGAATGCAGGGTAAACAGGATGAGCCTCTGCATAGAGAGAAGTAGAGGGACTATAAGAAAGAGAGAAAACACTTGGTGAAGGACGGCGAGAAACAGAGCCAGACAGGAAAGGGAATAAATATTCCCCAGAGATGCTGTTATTCTTGACAACTGTTAGTTCCTTTCTTTTTAGTTGCTCTAGCAAAATAACTACATATTTTGATTCTGAATCCCCTGTAAAAGGCAGGAGCAATAGGTATGTGTTTAAGGGAATGGATGATCTGGCTCTCTGGAGAGTTGTGATCATATAGAAATTGCTTCTAAGTGAGATTCCCTATTGCAGTCCTCAACCACATGCTTTATTTTTCTGCCTGGGCTTAAACATTCAAAATTGCATAACTTTATTTTTTTAAGTATAGCTTTCTTTATTATTATTTTTGGTATCATTTTTTAAAAATTGAGATATAATTGACATATAACATTAAATTCAAGTGTACAACATAATGATTTGTTATTTGTTTTTTATTATTATTATTTTTCTTGTCCAAATACATTTGTCTTCATTTTCCCACCACCACTTTCCCCTGCCCCGCCCACCCTCACCTCCCACCATCAATCCTTCCCCACTTTGGCTTTGTCCATGGGTCCTTTATACATGTTCCTTGACTTGACTTTTCCATTCTCTTTCCCCACCCCCCCTTCCCTCTTGTCTTTGTTGGTTTCTTTTTTCTTTCAGTATTGCTAGTTATATTTACCTTGCTTGATTGTTTTGCCGATTAGGTTCCACCTATAGGTGAAATCATATGGTATTTGTCTTTCACTGTCTGGCTTATTTCACTTAGCATAATGCTCTCTAGTTCCATCCATGTTGTCGTGAAGGGTAGTAGCTCTTTCTTTCTTTCTGCTGCATAGTATTCCATTGTGTAAATGTACCATAGTTTTTTGATCCACTCATTTACTGGTGGGCATTTAGGTTGCTTCCAGCACTTGGCTATTGTCAATTGTGCTGCTATGAACATTGGGGTGCATAGGTGCTTTTGAATTGGTATTTTGAGGTTCTTAGGATATAATCCCAGCAGTGGAATCGCTGGGTCAAAAGGCAGTTCCATTTTTAGCTCTTTGAGGAAATTCCAAACTGTT